CCCGTTGCGGAGCACAGGCTCCGGACGCGCAGGCTCAGTGGCCATGGCTCACGGGCCCAGCTGCTCCACGGCATGTGGGATCTTCCCGGACCGGGACACGAACCCACGTCCCCTGCATCGGCAGGCGGACTCTCAACCACTGTGCCACCAGGGAAGCCCAATGATCACATTTTTAATCAAGAGAATCCCATTGTCATGATGCTTATTCATAAAGTACCTTAGGTATATTCTTATTTTTTCTTTCTTCCCAATAGATAACTATTGTAGTTGTAATAACTCTGAGATCTTTTGATAAATAACTCAAAAGCAAGTTTCTGTTCAGAGTGGGAAACAGAATGCTGGAGTCCTGAAAGAATGAATATAGCTTCTCGAGGTGTCTCAAACACAGGGCAGGGGAAAGAGTAACTATTGGGATGAGTCCAGAAATATCTCAATATGTAAATTATGTGACCATTCTGCAATTAGAAGATTAAACAGTCATTTCTGCTCAAATATACCAAGAATCTAATTATGTTTTTATATCAGCGGTCCCCTACTGACTTTTATGGGAAGGAAATTATTGTCTCCTGATATTCTGCAAAGAACGAACTTGACTACTTATTCATTGATGCTAGATATATACTTATTAAATAAAGATAAATTGAATCAGTCAACTATGTATTTGTTGAGCGTTTACTGAGTTTTTCAGATTCATTTGCCTTGCATACAAAAGAAGCATAAATCCTTGTCAGCATGGCCTGATGTCTTAAGGACTGATTTTGTTTTTAGTAAAACATGAGAGTTTTACCTGCTGGTTTCCTTTTAAGATCAATATTCCATTTTATGCTATTTTCATGCTTTTAAATTCCTCAAATAAATAAATAAAATATTAAATGATAAATATATATATATCATTAAATTAAAATAATCTTATAATCCCTTAACTCACCATGTTACATTTCATCCCTTTCTTCTTTAATTTATCTGCCCCTCTTGAGCAAATGACAGTTGTAACATGTCACGTTAAGGTATTCATTAGATTTCTGATCTTGGTGATTCTAAGGGTGCTGAAAATAATCGACACAGTTTATTAGCCTGCTCTCAAGCATGTGTGTTTGATCTCTCTCTTGACTTCCAGAAAAAGAAAAAATATTCACATTATAGTTCTGTGAATGTCAAATAGGTATATGATTTTTGAGCTTGCCAGGTGTTAATTGGTCTCTTCCCCAGTGATGATACAGATAAAATTCACAGCCAATTAGTTTGCACTCTTGAATCTTTACTCCTTGACAAAGTGAACCACTTTGCTGAGGAGACCAAGAAAATGAAGAAGTTATAGAATCTCCTCACTGAAAATCTCTGCAGGGATTTGCTCTCTTTAAGAAACATCAAGTCAAGAAGAGTCTATGGATACCTATGTTACTCAGGATATGTTTTGGTCTTCAAGGTAGTTTAATGGTGGAGGTTTGCATTAGAATTTTAGAAATACAGTTAAGGAGACAGATGCACTTATTGTCCTAAGTGAAAGGAAATATTGAATAGAGAAGAGCTGCCTACTTTATAATCACAATAAATCATATTGTGTGTCAGTGTTGGAAGATAAGGTTTCGGAGTGGCTGGATAAAACAGCAATAATCATACAAAGTCTCTGATACAGTGCTAGAAAGTGCCATGGGATGCCAGGAACAAGGCAAAAAACAGCTCTCTTCTTTCAAAGAAAAAAGGAAATTTCATTAAGAGTGCCACTTAGAGTCTTTGCATTGATACATTGGAGATATGGATGACTGTGACAGAAAAATGGGCATTTTACTGTTTGGTGCTAATAAAAAGTCATGGTATAAATCTGATTTGTAATATTTCATTAACTATCAATAGGCTTTGTTTCACCAAAAACAGAAAATGAAAATAAAGAGCTAATGGAAAGCTTACAGGATGAAACTAACGGACATTCCTCATACATGTTTTTATTCATGGTGTGTGGCTATGGCTTTTATGTATGTCCATAAATATATCACAGAGCAGGAAATATATACATGGAGTGCACAGGCTCACACACACACACACACACACACACACACACATGCCTTTCTTACATTTTTTGCATAGTATCAAGAAAAATAATAAAATTGATGGTACATTATTAAGTCATACCACCTTTCTCTATGATTAGTGCCAGATAAAATAAAACAGTGTTTCTTATTTCTTAAAAGACAATGACAAAATTAAACCAAGCTGCCTGTGGCTTTGTCCAGTGGGGCATTCTAATTGACTCCAAGTCATTAATCAGTTCCCAATCAATCTATTTTGCCAGTAGCAAGCAGTTAGGACTCCATTACCAACCATTCATCATGCCATACCCTAATTCACTGCACCATTAGCCATGGACTAGGCCTCTGTTAGAATAACTTAAGTGCCAATTGCTAAATGTGAAGAATTTTTGCTACTCACTTCAGCCACCGGGATCCCTTCTGGTGGTCGACACTGGAGCAAGACTTCCTGTTCCAAGGATACTTCCTTTCCCAGGGGTTCCTGCTCAAATGTCTTCCGCAGATCTGGAAAGCACCAGTAATAAAATATAAGACAAAACTAATTAACATTTATTCATTTATTGGAAGTACAATAAACATTCTGCAGCTTCTTATTTTATGTTTCTTTGTATTTTTTAATCATGTTAGTACTGTACCATAATGTGGGTGATTATATTCTGTGTACTGGAAATTATGAAACTTGGAGGCTATTAACTGTTCCTACTTTAATCTTCACTGGAATGCTTTGGAGATCCTCATTCTAACAATTAGTGAAACTCATTCGTTGCATTTCCTTACTATTTCTTAATAATCAACTATAATGATCACTTTTTTTTTTTTTTTTTTGCGTTACGCGGGCCTCTCACTGTTGTGGCCTCTCCCGTTGTGGTGCACAGGCTCCAGACGCACAGGCTCAGCGGCCATGGCTCACGGGCCCGTTGCGGAGCACAGGCTCCGGACGCGCAGGCTCAGTGGCCATGGCTCACGGGCCCAGCTGCTCCACGGCATGTGGGATCTTCCCGGACCGGGACACGAACCCACGTCCCCTGCATCGGCAGGCGGACTCTCAACCACTGTGCCACCAGGGAAGCCCAATGATCACATTTTTAATCAAGAGAATCCCATTGTCATGATGCTTATTCATAAAGTACCTTAGGTATATTCTTATTTTTTCTTTCTTCCCAATAGATAACTATTGTAGTTGTAATAACTCTGAGATCTTTTGATAAATAACTCAAAAGCAAGTTTCTGTTCAGAGTGGGAAACAGAATGCTGGAGTCCTGAAAGAATGAATATAGCTTCTCGAGGTGTCTCAAACACAGGGCAGGGGAAAGAGTAACTATTGGGATGAGTCCAGAAATATCTCAATATGTAAATTATGTGACCATTCTGCAATTAGAAGATTAAACAGTCATTTCTGCTCAAATATACCAAGAATCTAATTATGTTTTTATATCAGCGGTCCCCAACCTTTTGGGCACCAGGGACCGGTTTCGTGGAAGACAGTTTTTCTACGGACCAGGGTCGGGGTAGGGTAGGTGGGGGAGGGACGGTTCAGGCGGTACTGCGAGTGGTGGGGAGCAGCGCATGAAGCTTTGCTCACTCGCTGCCCACCTCCGGCTCTGCGGCCTGGTTCCTAACAGGCCACGGATCAGGGGTTGGGGACCCCTGATTTATATAGTTATAGTTGCTACAGCAATATGCAGTACAATTTTAAAAACTGCTATTGATGGACACGAAAATGTTAGAAACCAGTTTGTCATTTTAAACACCAAAGCCAAAAAGTACATGAGTCAGTCATAGAGCTTTGAAGCAGCATTTTTTTTTTAAAGTAAAGCAAAAAAATATTTCATATATGTACTCTTCAGCTCCTACCCATTCAAAGTTATTGGAATTTTACCCAGTTGATTTTAGTAAAAAGTTCATGCCTCTTTCCTTTCATCCCATGTCCCCAGCAATGACTTCAGAATCTAAAAGCACCATTTCAGCCTACTGAACTAATGAGTGGAAATCAGAAGACTCTGGAGGTGTGCCTCTAATGTCTTTCAAGGAGCTATTAGAAAGCACCCCTTGGAAAATGCACTGAGCAAAAAATTCATTGTCATATATTTGCCATTTGGTTGAATTTCTTGGCAGAAGAAAACCTTCAAGAGCTTAGGGGCTGTGAAAAGATAACTGGATCTAGGTGGGTCTGAAGTAAGACAAGAGACTCTACAAATGGTGACAGAATTTCTGTCAGAAGGGCATTTCTAATTTGATTATCAAGAAATTGAGTATGTTGCAGGAATGATCACTTAAAATCCACAGAGTTATTAGAACTGGAAAGTTATCTAAGCCAGGTCCTAATTTTACATATGAGAAACATATTTCTCAAGTTACTCAAAGCCTCACAGCAAAATAACTGATGCTGCATTAGAACCTGCTGATTTGATACATATTTTTCTATCCCACACATCCCTTCACATCTCTTTTGGTTGATTTGTGTCCTTTCAACAGAAACATTAAAACTTCTTCGACTCTTTCTTTTCTCATATAGCAGCTTCTCTTTGTTTTTAATCTGCATTAAGATGAAATTTTGGCAAAACACCAAATATTAATAAAAGCAATAGCAGCAGTGAATAACTTTAATGGGATAAAATGTTCTTGACAGGGTATATCTTGTTGGTGAAAAATGATTCTAAAAAACTCCCATCTGGGCTTCCCTGGTGGCGCAGTGGTTGAGAGTCCGCCTGCCAATGCAGGGGACGCGGGTTCGTGCCCCAGCCAGGAAGATCTCATATGCTGCGGCCATGGCCACTGAGCCTGCGCGTCCAGAGCCTGTGCACCGCAACGGGAGAGGCCACAGCAGTGAGAGGCCCGCGTACTGCAAAAAAAACACAAAACTCCCATCTGATGCAGGGTAGGGTGAAGACCTAAAGACTGGAATTAGTTCTCAAATCAAATAACATATTGACTCTCAGTTAAACTAACCAGCATATCACAAAATAAGGATTGAGAATTAGAAAGAATGAGGCACATATATATCCAAATAGTCAAAACAAATGCCTTTAACATTTGTAAATTATCTCAAGGTAGACACTTTATTAGGTACTTAGGATGAAGATATGTAAGATTCAGAATCAAGACTAGAACGATAAGCTGAGATCTATTTATGAAAAGCCTTCCTGCCATGCTAAGGAATGGCAAACCCTCAAAGGCTTTTAAGCAGAGGAGGGAGATAGGATGTCATATTGTCCTCGGTGTGATTGAGGTGGTGGTGAGGAAGCAGAAGGTAGTTAGGAACCCATTTGAATAGATCAGGAGGGATGATGGGGTCCTGAACTCAGCTAGTGACAGTGGACAGGAAGGGGAGAAAGCAGATTCTAGTAATAAATAGATCATATGTTGAGGAAGACCTAGGTATTTGGAGAGTGAGAAGAGAAAAAGATAATACTATATTCTTAGCTACTGCAATTGTTAAGTTGATACCATCATTAAATGAAATAATACCAAATTGGGCAGGAAAGTGGTGAGAAAGATAGCAAATTTATTTTGGTACATGTTCAGTTTGGTGCAGCTGTAGGCTATTGAAGTGGAAAAGTCCAGTAGGTCCATATCATGATTTCTGAACCTCAGCACGACTGACATTTGGGACTGGATAATTCTGTTGTGAGGTTGCCCTGTGCACAGTAAGTTGCTTAGCAGCATCCTTGGACTCTACCCAGCAGATACCAGTAGCACCCTTCCAAGCCATGGCAAAACAAATGCCTCCAGATAATGCCAAATGTCTCCTGACATGAAAAATCACCTCAAGTAGAGAACCACTGGTCTAGAGTTCGGAAAAGAAGCCCTGGTAAAAGATCTGTGCTTCATTGTCTAGGAGATAGCTGAAGCACTAGAAATAGATGACACTACCAGGGCAGAGGAAAAAAAAAAAAGAGGACACCAACATTCAAGAGGAAAACCTGCCTGCAAAAATGATATGGCGTGAGCAAAGACGTTGGAGAAAAACCAAGAGACAAGCGTCAGAGAAGCCGAGAGGAGAATAAAGTTTTAAGAAGTTGGGAGGCCAACAGGACAAATGCAGCAAAGGACTCAGAAGGAGAAGTTTGGGGAATTTAGGAGTGAAGGGGGAGTAGGAGCCCAGCTGAGTTGAGGGTGCACAGGAATTGGGAAAATGACCATCAGGAGAACTCCTACTCTTTTGCAAGATTTTATGGTGATGGAGGTCAGACGCAGCACCATTAAGGGATGATGGGTTCGAATGGAGCAGGCTATAATTCTTCTTAGGATATGGTATAGTTTTGGGCACAGTTTTCAAATTCTTGCCATATGAAGGTACACCCTTTTGAGAATCCTCATTTCCTAATTGAGAATGGTGCCCACACATCGGAGTCATGAACCCAGAAGACAGGTTTAACTGAACTATCACTGAATACCATATAATTCTGTTGTTTTGATGTTATTTAATTTTAAACTCTATGTAAATTTTATCTAATTTCTAAAACGACTCACATTTAACCCCTCACAAAGTAGTACTTCTTCCTGAAAAATCCTTTTAATTCCTGCCCAAAACCTCTTCTCTAGCTTTCAGGTTGTGGAAAGAGCACAGAATATATTGTGCTGTCCAGCATGGCAGCTGCTCCTTTCATATGCCTCCATGGTACTCTGTAAGGGGGTGAGTAGCATTTTAAGCATATCCTTTATCATTTGGAGAGATGTGATAGAAGGCAGGCTGGATGACTTGCAGGCAGAGAGAACACGAGGGGGACGAATGGATAAGCATGAAAAATGGACACTTGGCAGCTAGGAATTAGATGTAAAACAGAATGTTTTAGAATAATGTGGGCAATCCTGTCCGGACCTTTAGGAGTCTACATTTCTGTTTTCTTTCCATTAGTTCTAAGGCTGCTACTAAAATAAGTATAAAGTCCTTTCATTATAACCTAGATTACTTTTGCAAAGTAAACTTGGCTTACCTCTGATTTAGTCATTGACTCCATCAATTAAAAGAAAAATCAGCTTTGTCATATGCAGGCATTCAGAGAGATGTTTACTTAAGAACATGAATATTGGCTTACTAAATCCATACAGAGAAATCCAATTAGCAGATGTAGAATCAGACCTGAAACTATACGGACTTCTATTTACCATTTACATAGTAATCAAAGAAAGCCTTTTAGAACACACACGTGTGGGTGTACACGGCATCTCATTTTTTATGGTAGAATTGTGATGCTGTCAATGAATTTTTTTGTACAATAATAATACTGTGGTTACAAATTATTTATGATGTGAAACCCACTAATTTCATGGCATTCTACAAACAAGGACTCTGCTTTTTGACAATGTGGTAGGCAGAAAAGAAGGCCACCTGGGAATTTGAAGACTCTGTGGCCTCACCTTCCTCATTTGTAAAATGAAAGTAAATGACGGGATGCTTTTGAAGGTCTCTTTTGTCATAAGGGCCTATGCCTGAGTAGACTAACATTTTAAATATGCATTTTAGGGGAAAACAGCCTATCCTTTGTGAAATAAGATAAGAT